CCCCCCCCCCCCAAAAAAAAAAAAATCTGATTGGCAAGAAAACAGTCACATGTCCAATCTAGTTTTGTTTTGAACAAAATTCAGACGAATCCAAATTTTCATTAAACATACATTCTGACACGTTCGATTTTGGAAAATTGTCCGAAAATCCGAATTTAACAAAATTTGTTTGAATATCCATTTGGAATGAAACTAAATTTCCATGGTTGGTATTTATTCCACTTACACAGTTCAAATGTAATCTGCAAGTGCAGCCAGGGAGCGTTTCGGTGGGGCTCAAGAGTTCACCGGGGCTCGGGATAACCTAAGAGGGACCCGGTGACATCGGAGGAACTATAATTCGTGTGGACACATCGCAGGAACATTTCTCATTATCAGTACGGGGAAAAATGAAGGCAGCTGGATTTGCTGGATTTTTTATTGAAGACGTTTCGCTGGTCATCTGACTAGCTTTTGCAATTCAGTAGGGATGCACCAATACCATTTATTCCAGACTTAGTATGAGTACCGATACCTTTTTTTAGTGTCATGTGACCGTTCTTCTAAAACAATACAGACTAATGATTTTAAGACAGGGTCCAGATGCAGCTGCAAACACTGCAATCCTGGTAGTTCTGCCACCGACTCCAAGCTGTAGAGGGACTACAAATCCCAGCAAAACATTATACAGCAATGCAGAATAATACCACCAGCTATAGAGGACTACAAATCCCAGCAATACATTATACAGCAATGCAGAATAATACCATCAGCTATAGAGGACTACAAATCCCAGCAATACATTATACAGCAATGCAGAATAATACCATCAGCTATAGAGGACTACAAATCCCAGCAATACATTATACAGCAATGCAGAATAATACCATCAGCTATAGAGGACTACAAATCCCAGCAATACATTATACAGCAATGCAGAATAATACCATCAGCTATAGAGGACTACAAATCCCAGCAATACATTATACAGCAATGCAGAATAATACCATCAGCTATAGAGGACTACAAATCCCAGCAATACATTATACAGCAATGCAGAATAATACCATCAGCTATAGAGGACTACAAATCCCAGCAATACATTATACAGCAATGCAGAATAATACCATCAGCTATAGAGGACTACAAATCCCAGCAATACATTATACAGCAATGCAGAATAATACCATCAGCTATAGAGGACTACAAATCCCAGCAATACATTATACAGCAATGCAGAATAATACCATCAGCTATAGAGGACTACAAATCCCAGCAATACATTATACAGCAATGCAGAATAATACCATCAGCTATAGAGGACTACAAATCCCAGCAATACATTATACAGCAATGCAGAATAATACCATCAGCTATAGAGGACTACAAATCCCAGCAATACATTATACAGCAATGCAGAATAATACCATCAGCTATAGAGGACTACAAATCCCAGCAATACATTATACAGCAATGCAGAATAATACCATCAGCTATAGAGGACTACAAATCCCAGCAATACATTATACAGCAATGCAGAATAATACCATCAGCTATAGAGGACTACAAATCCCAGCAATACATTATACAGCAATGCAGAATAATACCATCAGCTATAGAGGACTACAAATCCCAGCAATACATTATACAGCAATGCAGAATAATACCATCAGCTATAGAGGACTACAAATCCCAGCAATACATTATACAGCAATGCAGAATAATACCATCAGCTATAGAGGACTACAAATCCCAGCAATACATTATACAGCAATGCAGAATAATACCATCAGCTATAGAGGACTACAAATCCCAGCAATACATTATACAGCAATGCAGAATAATACCATCAGCTATAGAGGACTACAAATCCCAGCAATACATTATACAGCAATGCAGAATAATACCATCAGCTATAGAGGACTACAAATCCCAGCAATACATTATACAGCAATGCAGAATAATACCATCAGCTATAGAGGACTACAAATCCCAGCAATACATTATACAGCAATGCAGAATAATACCATCAGCTATAGAGGACTACAAATCCCAGCAATACATTATACAGCAATGCAGAATAATACCATCAGCTATAGAGGACTACAAATCCCAGCAATACATTATACAGCAATGCAGAATAATACCATCAGCTATAGAGGACTACAAATCCCAGCAATACATTATACAGCAATGCAGAATAATACCATCAGCTATAGAGGACTACAAATCCCAGCAATACATTATACAGCAATGCAGAATAATACCATCAGCTATAGAGGACTACAAATCCCAGCAATACATTATACAGCAATGCAGAATAATACCATCAGCTATAGAGGACTACAAATCCCAGCAATACATTATACAGCAATGCAGAATAATACCATCAGCTATAGAGGACTACAAATCCCAGCAATACATTATACAGCAATGCAGAATAATACCATCAGCTATAGAGGACTACAAATCCCAGCAATACATTATACAGCAATGCAGAATAATACCATCAGCTATAGAGGACTACAAATCCCAGCAATACATTATACAGCAATGCAGAATAATACCATCAGCTATAGAGGACTACAAATCCCAGCAATACATTATACAGCAATGCAGAATAATACCATCAGCTATAGAGGACTACAAATCCCAGCAATACATTATACAGCAATGCAGAATAATACCATCAGCTATAGAGGACTACAAATCCCAGCAATACAGTATACAGCAATGCAGAATATTATGAAGCTACATACTCTGTGTTGCTCGCTAGAGCTGTGCATGGTCTGACCAGGGCTGTGTGGTCCCCCCCCCATCAACATGCTAGTGACATTCTTTAAAAACCTTTGTGAATTCCTATGCTTCTCTATGCAGGCAGATCATGGCTGGTGGGAGGGGCCGGCAGGGTGCTGTACATAGCTTTCCTGAAAACATCCCACTCCTCTCAAGGGCCCTCAGTCCTGATACAAGCAGTGTGCTGGCTATCGGGAGGTGTTATGCAAATAATAAAGTGTCTTGATGGGTGGCTGTCGGTCTGGAGGAGTTGGTGTTCCTAGGCAGGCTGGATTTGCAGAGCAAGCTAGGTAACGCCCAAATGTGATACCTGACATAGAAAGTACAAAAGGGGCGGGGCCAAGGACCATCAGGTTATAACTTTCCAAGCTATATCTGGAGTGAGGAAGCATCTTCTACAGTGAGCAGCCTATCTGCCTTTAGTAAATCAGCCCACCCCCCCCCCAGCGCCG